AATTAGAATATTACTGAAGACCAATAAAAACAAAGGATTTATAGAAATGTTGGCCAACTGAAAAGTATGAACATGAAAAGTATGAGCATGTACAGCACTCAGTATTTAGTTGGGCCTCCTTTGGCCTGTATTACTGCAGCAATGCGGCGTGGCATGGAGTCGATCAGTCTGTGGCACTGCTCAGGTGTTATGATAGCCCAGGTTGCTCTAATAGTGGCTTTTAGCTCTTCTGAATTGTTGGGTCTGGTGTATTGCATCTTCTTCTTCACAATACCCCATAGATTTTCTATGGGGTTAAGGTCAGGAGAGTTTGCTGGCCAATTAAGAACAGGGATACCATGGTCCTTCAACCAGGTACTGGTAGCTTTGGCACTGTGTGCAGGTGCCAAGTCCTGTTGGAAAATGAAATCTGCATCTCCAAAAAGTTGGTCAGCTGCAGGAAGCATGAAGTGCTCTAAAACTTCCTGGTATGTGGCTGCGTTGACCCTGGACCTCAGAAAACACAATGGACCAACACCAGCAGATGACATGGCACCCCAAACCATCACTGACTGTGGAAACTTTACACTGGACTTCAAGCAACGTGGATGAAGTGCCTCTCTTCTTTTCCTCCAGACTTGGTTTCCAAAGGAAATGCAAAATTTACTTTCATCAGAGAACATGACTTTGGACCACTCACCAGCAGTCCAGTCCTGTTTCTCTTTAGCCCAGGCAAGACGCTTCTGACGCTGTCTGTGGTTCAAGAGTGGCTTGACACAAGGAATGCGACAGCAGAAACCCATGTCTTTCATACGTCTGTGTGTGGTGGTTCTTGAAGCACTCACTCCAGCTGCAGTCCACTCTTTTTGAATCTCCCCCACATTTTTGAATGGGTTTTGTTTCACAATCCTCTCCAGGTTTCGGTTATCTCTCTTGCTTGTACACTTTTTTCGACCACATCTTTTCCTTCCCTTCGCCTCTCTATTAATGTGCTTGGACACTGAGCTCTGTGAACAGCCAGCCTCTTTAGCGATGACCTTTTGTGTCTTGCCCTCCTTGTGCAAGGTGTCGATGGTCGTCTTTTGGACAACTGTCAAGTCAGCAGTCTTCCCCATGATTGTGTAGCCTATAGAACTAGACTGAAAGACCATTTAAAGGCTTTTGCAGGTGGTTTGAGTTAATTAGCTGATTAGAGTGTGGCACCAGGGGCCATCAATTTTGAACCTTTTCACAATATTCTAATTTTCTGATATGATGAATTTGAGATTTTCATTTGTTGTCATTTGTAATCATCAAAATTAAACAAAATAAACATCTGAAATATATGAGTTTGTATGTAATGTATGAATATAATATACAAGTTTCACTTTTTAAATGGAATTACTGAAATCAATCTACTTTTTCATGATATTCTAATTTTATGACCAGCACCTGTATATTATTCGTATTCTATCATCTTGATATGCTCAGCAATCACTGCAGATGAAATGGGGGGACTGTGTCTCGGCTCCGTTCAAAGTCAGTAACGGGGTAAGGTAAGGTTGGATTTTGTCCACAGTTCTTTTTTTTTGTATCTGGATGAACTATCAACCAAATTGGGAGCTTTTGATGCTGTTTGTGTGGCTGGTAACTCTGTACTCTGTACTTAATAACCTTATGTATGCAGATGATTTAGTAATATTTAGTCCAGGTACTGCTGGTACAGTCTGGAACATGACGCTAAGTACAATCCATCTGAAACTGTGGTCATGTTCTGTAGGACTAAAAAACATAAATCTGTTCAGTTTCCAAACTTTCATCTGTCAAATACTGTGCTGAGTGATACTAATATTATCATCAAATATCTTGAGCACATCATCACAGAGAATATGTCAGATGATGATGATATCTGTAGACAATGTAGAATGTTGTATGCTCAAGTTAATTGCCCGTAAATTTGGTGCATGTACTGATGTGGTATAAGTGGAACTTTTTGATGCATATCGTACCTCTCTGTACACTGCTCACCTGTGGTCTACATATAAATAATGGTGACCTATAATGATGCTTTGCGACTACTTTTGAAATGACCAAGATGGACTAGTGCAATCTGATACCAGTCTAAGCTGTGGAGACACTGGTATTCCTGTTTTCCTCAAATTTCCTACTTGTAACTTGTACATATAGGGCCGGATTTATCAAGATCCAATTTTGCGTGCAGTAATTTGCGCTCGCAAACTGGAATTTTGCGCGAGGGGCTGAACCATGGTTTGCGGGTGATTTAACAAGAGCGATTGCGTAACTGGTGGCAGGCGCAAAACTGTTGGAGACGCCCTATTTAAATGATGGTTTTGCACGTTTTGTGGTTTGCGGCAAAGTAGTTTGTAAACTTTGGCAACCTTTATTCCCTAAGGTGGTATGTGGCTGAATTTCTACTTCACCGCAGTAAAAAAAAACAACAAAAAAAAAACAGGTGTTTTGTATCGGCCTGTAGAAAAATGCACATACCAAATGGCTCACAAGAAGTGACTGTGGATAAGATGACTGCGCGCTGCATCCCCGCAGCATTGGCATGTTTCTCCACAGGCGCAAGGCGGGAGGTCCGGGTTCTCTCCGTTAGGGCGTCAGGGCATTTAGAACGTCGGACAGCACTTCTGAAAAACGAGATTGGGAGATCCCAGATGCAAAAAAGTGCAATGTTGCAAGGAGTTTTGTGATATCTGGTATTGCGTGGGTCCTCCTTGTGGCTGGCTCCAAATCCATTCAGAGTTCCCCCAACAGCTCCAAAATGGCAATGCTGGATAAACGATATGTTTTGATGATCGTTTCCTCGTTCATCCTTAAAATATTCACACGGAGTGAAAAAATGCGTTCTCTGCGTCTCCTTGCTTCATTTCGATGTCTCCTTCTTGCGACAATAACCGCTGCCATGTGTGCGCAATTACGCATACAGACCATTTCCACCTTCTTTTGAAACATGTTAAATATAGAGTCAGATACCGTTAGCAAAATTGCTTTCAGGTTTAATAAATCACTTTGCGAGTGCTAAATTAATATATTTACATGTTCTCCTCCCACAAGACGCACTTTTGCGTGTAAACGCCCCATATTGCATATTCATTGCAGAAAAAGTACTAAATGGATAAGAGGCGCTATTTAGCACGTTTTAAAGACCAAATCCTTTTAGCACGCTGTTGATAGATCAGTTTGTACATTTTTTAGCGTGCGCAGTGAAATAGCTCACGTTTTTATACACGCAAACCTTTGATAGATCCGGCCCGTAGTGTACTTTTCTACCTGTATTGTTTTATTTTTATCTTTAATATTTATTGGATCATGAGTCTGGAATAAATTCTATCTATCTGTATGTATCTCTGAAAAAAGAAAAAACAAGAAATTAAAGTTAAATATTAATCCTAGAATACCTGTCTTTGTGAGCTACTCCCTCCAAACCCTGTCAGACAGGTAGTCCAAGAAGGAGCCATAGTCAAAGTTTACAACAAGATTAAGATAAGAACAGTTGTTAGTTCTCCTCACAACACCCACTGAACAAAAACATTGCGAAAAGATGTAGGCCCATAACAGCTCCATGCTGCATAAACGCTTAATATGAAGCCTCTGGATGAGTGAGAAAAGAAATCCTTCTTGCTACTAGGTAGAGATGTACTTTAAGACCTACCTCGAGTACGTTTTTCTAGCCCCCTTTATTGTCTCTTTATAGACACAATGATGGATGTTTTAGGGTGCCTGTCAATGTCTAATTCTAAATAGTTTAATTATAAACAGTTATTTACATTCAGTCATTGTGTTTTCTATCTGTCTGCTAACCAAAAAAAGCAGTGATCGCTCTCACAATGTGAAGTTCACCGCTCGCTCCATCACCACCCTTCACCATGCAGTTTGTAGGTATTAGGTTTTGTTGCATTGATGAAATTACAGAAAAAAGATAAAGAAATCAGATTTTTGGTGTTACTTTTATTTTCAGGATTTGGGAGAAAAAAATGGAAGAAAGCTCACATACCTGCATCAGAGCGCTACCTGTTCGATTAAATCTATTTTTGTGCTCCTGTAATTTATCCAAAAATTCTGCAATTACAATTTTTCTCTCACTCCCAACTTGGTGGTGGGCTGCATATTTAGCATGGAAATGCCTTTCCAAATTACTCTTTTTATTATTTCACAACCATAACCCGAGACACAACAACCGGTTTGTTTGCAATAGCCACCTGCCTGGCAATGCGTCCCGCTGAATCATGTGCTGCAGGCTATGACGCCAATCTTTGTTGAAAGAAGTGTTTACTTTTATTGTTTGAATTAATTTGTTATACAAATTTGTAAAGCATTGGAAAACCTAATGAATGTTTAAACCTCCTGCACACTATATTAAAACAAACAAAAAAAGCTATCTTTTTCATACATCAAAAGGAGCATTTAAGAGCTGCAGGTTTTTTAAACCCTGTAATATTGCTATTTCTGAGTAGAAATATTTTGATATAAACAAAGACTCTCGATCCATTGCCTCTCTCTCGAACTTCTGTTATTGCGCCGATACTGCTTTTGTGGCCAAGTCAAGAGGATTTGTGTCAGTTGGCACCTGGCTTTCAAATCAACTAAATACACAGAAGTGAGCCTGCAACCCATTTTAGTTTTGATATATATATATTGCTTTATGAGTAAAGCATTAATTTTACATATTGTGTTCTGATAAAATTGAAAATTTTGATCCTAAGTATTTGTTCTGTATTTTCATCAAGGTAAAAAGTAGTTGTAGACAAAAGTTTGCACCTGGGTTTCCTCTAATTTCAGACACAACATATGATTTCCAACTAGTTAGTAAATTGACTTTGTGCAAGCCATCCAGTTTTGGACGCACTTCTATTCACAAAAATAAACGTTTTAAAACTTAGGTGAAAACCTGTTAAAGTCTAAGTGAGTACACCCCTAAGCAAAAAAATGTCCAAATTGTATCCTAACCTACCTTAGTTTTGAAAGATACTGAAGATGTTATTTCAGCATAATTCTATACATTCAGTATTACTTACTCTTTTTCTCCTGTGAAAAAGCTGAGTAATCTCCACATGGTGAGGATGGAAGATCAGTTGTTCTATAAAATAAAGCAAGGAAGAATTATCCTTCTAAATGGCAGAAATAGACTTAAATAATCTTTATAACAGTTAGACTGTATGTTTACGTGTGGACAATGTTTCTTCTCACTCAAGATTAAAGGTTTTTCTCTTTTGACCTAGAAAGGTCGTAAATAAACTTATACACACTAGACATAATTATAATAAAGAAAACATTTTAAGATAACCAGAACTATTTAATATAGTTGTTCTTAAAGTGCAAAAAGGCTTCACAGATCATCAAAGAATACATAGAATGAGAGCAATTATTAATAGTCAAGACTAATAAATTAACAATCAAATAAAAAGCAAATAAAAAATGACAGAACAAAATGAGAGTCTGGTAAGAAAAAGAAAAAAAAGAAAGGATTTTAAGTTGATTAAGATATAAAACGTAATAACTTGAAATCCATTTTAAATCCAGTCACATGCCACTGAGAGAATCTGTGCCATTACATCTTCTCCATATATTTAATACCAGTAGGATTAAGTTATTTAAAAAAAAAAAAAACTGTCTTACATTTGGGTCAAATAATCAGGAAGAGAAAAGTTGTAACTTTGAAGGAGATGGGAGTTGTGCTAAAATTGAGGAAGTGATCTGCTGTACCTGTGTGCTGTCGAGGGAGGAGACTGAGTGTTGGGACTCTTCAATCAGTTTGATTGACGCTGCTGAAGCCAATGTCTCTCTTTAAATGTTCAATAACCAATCCCTGACACTAAAGAAAAGGACAACACAGAATGTGTTACTGCATTTGAAAACACCTCACAAACATTTCTCTATAAATTATTCAATACATTTCCTGGTTTCCATCCAATGCCGTTTCATGAAATACGGTCAAATATGTCTATTTTCAGTGATAAGATCAGTGGTGTAGTGGTCCCTGGAGAAGTGGGTATACTCGCACTCTTTTTTTAATGCAGCAAAGAAACAATGACATTTAAGACCAATCTACATAGTTTAACCAATACTTTCTTTGTAGTATTGCAGTATTTAGTTAATGTCATATAATTTCTGCTATTTGATCTAAGGAAGGATTATGAAATAACTAAATGCTGCCCCACAGACTAGTGAGACATAATTGTGGATTGTGAGTGAACTATTCCTTATTCTTGAGTCCATCCACATGAATGAGACCTATTCTCCCACTTAGCAAGTCAGTACTTCCTTTTGTAATCTGTCTCTTTGCACAGCTGATTCATAACAGTTAGTGTGGAGCGCTATTAAAATAAACATCACTTAATCAGGAACAGTTTGTTTGTATTACTGGTCAAACAGGCAGCATGCATGAATAAAAAAATACAGATGAGGCAAACACGGCGTTTCAGTTATTTTTTAAACATTTATTTAAATAAAATATTTTAGATGTGCATGTGACATCCTTGTTTATATTTCAGCTTAGACTTAAGAATAAAAATCAAATGCATCAAAATCAATCAGATAACCTGAAAAGTTGATAAAAGCTTAAAATTGGAATAAAGACTATTTTAGCATAACTCATTGGATATATATATCTATATACACTCACCGGTCACTTTATTAGGTACACCTGTCCAACTGCTCGTTAACACTTAATTTCTAAGCAGCCAATCACATGGCGGCAACTCAGTGCATTAAGGCATGTAGACATGGTCAAGACAATCTCCTGCAGTTCAAACCGAGCATCAGTATGGGGAAGAAAGGGCATTTGAGTGACTTTGAACGTGGCATGATTGTTGGTGCCAGAAGGGCTGGTCTGAGTATTTCAGAAACTGCTGATCTACTGGGATTTTCACGCACAACCGTCTCTAGGGTTTACAGAGAATGGTCCGAAAAAGAAAAAACATCCAGTGAGCGGCAGTTCTGTGGGCGGAAATGCCTTGTTGATGCATGAGGTCAGAGGAGAATGGCCAGACTGGTTGGAGCTGATAGAAGGGCAACAGTGACTCAAATAACCACCCGTTACAACCAAGGTGGGCAGAAGAGCATCTCTGAACGCACAGTACGTTGAACTTTGAGGCAGATGGGCTACAGCAGCAGAAGACCACACCGGGTGCCACTCCTTTCAGCTAAGAACAGGAAACTGAGGCTACAATTTGCACAAGCTCATCGAAATTGGACAATAGAAGATTGGAAAAACGTTGCCTGGTCTGATGAGTCTCGATTTCTGCTGCGACATTCGGATGGTAGGGTCAGAATTTGGCGTCTACAACATGAAAGCATGGATCCATCCTGCCTTGTATCAGCGGTTCAGGCTAGTGGTGGTGGTGTCATGGTGTGGGGAATATTTTCTTGGCACTCTTTGGGCCCCTTGGTACCAATTGAGCATCGTTGCAACGCCACAGCCTACCTGAGTATTGTTGCTGACCATGTCCATCCCTTTATGACCACAATGTACCCAACTTCTGATGGCTACTTTCAGCAGGATAATGCGCCATGTCATAAAGCTGGAATCATCTCAGACTGGTTTCTTGAACATGACAATGAGTTCACTGTACTCAAATGGCCTCCACAGTCACCAGATCTCAATCCAATAGAGCATCTTTGGGATGTGGTGGAACGGGAGATTCGCATCATGGATGTGCAGCCGACAAATCTGCGGCAACTGTGTGATGCCATCATGTCAATATGGACCAAACTCCCTGAGGAATGCTTCCAGCACCTTGTTGAATCTATGCCACGAAGAATTGAGGCAGTTCTGAAGGCAAAAGGGGGTCCAACCCGTTACTAGCATGGGGTACCTAATAAAGTGGCCAATGAGTGTATACGTATATGATATGATGATTGGAAATCATCATTCAAATGATTTAATAAAACAATCTTGGTACTCTCTACTCTCACTGAGGCGTGCCATAAAAATGTCTACTTGTGTATCATTTGGCTGCAAAAACAAGCAGTTTGCAGTTCGGATCTGGGAATACAATTTACAGTTAATTTCCCAGTCAGTGGATGAACTAACCAATAAATCCACCAATACGCCATTGTACCCTATTGTATAGTATGTAGCGTAACATTAGTCTGGCTATCATGGACTAACTCAAAGACATTGACTGAGTTAGCCATTGTGTCTAAAGTTAGAAAATAGAAACTGAACTGCTGGCTAATGGTAATTCAAGAGGATGTTTGTAATTAGGAAATGAAAGAGTTGTTTGACTCGCTCACTTCATATTACCAATTTTTTGCAAATACTAAAGTAAAAATACATAGATAAAAAACATTTAAAGTAAACTTGTAAATGTTATTTAATATGTGAGAAATATTAACCTCAACATGAACCGTCCTTATCTGCCTCTGATTGGCTCACTAGTTGTCATGCCTAAAGTTATACCAGTGTAATCATAGGATTTAATCTGTAAATCAACTAGCCAATTAGGAGCAGAGTAGCACAGTTCACTTTCCTAGAAAAAAAAGGGAAATTTGTCTCGGAGATTCTGCTTTATACAGTGGATTATGGGGGTTTTAGAAGTGGGTACACCAGTGAGCAAGATTATTAGCTCGCATGGATAATCTATCTTCCTCAACAGTGTTCCATCATTGTTTATTATCTGTTCTGTTTTCCTTTAAATGAATGCTTACTTAAAACCTTTATGTACAATAGCGGTCGTTTATATTTCAGGAGCTTTGGATGAGAGAGAGGCAACTGAGCAAAAAAATCATAAATTAATAAATAAACAAAAAGCAATAAATAAATAGAAAGGCCAAACAAGAATACAGCTAAAGAAGACTTGAGGGCAGATTAGACTGCAACCGCACACATCAAATGTCGCTTGGGTCTGGTCGCGAATCTGTTTCGACCTGGAATTTCTAGGGATGCACAGCAGTTTCCCGCCAAAGCGCAAGGGGGAACCTATTCGAGAATCGCGAGAACTTCAGCGGCACCGGCGGGAGTATTTATCTTCCAAAACAATAAAGGCGCGTCTGCAAGATATCACGGTCACGGGGATAGATCTAGAGTTTCTAGAAATCAAAGAGGCCAAGAATATATGTACGTGTCAATGTATGATGTATATGTAGTATCCTTATGTCTTTGTAAGATGCATTCATGTGCACATGAAAGGCATTGCCTTTCCCTTCTCCCCTGTTGGATATAGTGATGATAACTTGGTGGCCGTAGTAAGAAAGGCAAAAATTCCAAAATGTAAACCCAAAATTAAAGATCCAATATATCATATAATTTTTTCAAAACTGAACAGTATAAAGATGGATCCAAACAAAGCTTTGATTAAATTTTAACCAAAAAGATCATGCTAAGGAAACTGTTATTCTAACACAACGTGACTGGACTGGATAATACATCGCTAAACAAGAAATAATGTAATAAAATTCTTTTGGTTCTATTTAAACCAAAATAATTTATCAAATGAAAACAAGGATTATGGATGTTGAAAAAAGGATAAAAAAAATTGTGAACAACATTAAATGAACTCATAGGAAGAACATGTCAAACACCTTTATTTTTTAAAGGTGCCTGAAAGTTTCCTCACTTAACAATCAGCATTTGCTCGCTATATATGTAATATATGTAATATGATTATCCCATATCCAATCTATTACCAAATAGCATTTTAAAAATTAAGCAATTTTGATTTCATTTTAATAACATAAGTATTAAACTAGTAAAAAAAAAGCCAGGCAATGACATCTTTAATGGCAAGATGAGAAAAAGTGGTTGCAGAGAAAATTGCATCTCCCAACTGTCATTATAGTAACATCTAACTTAACACAAGCAGTAATAATGAATTTTTATACAGTATCTAAAACTCTGATCCTGTCATTTTTAATCTTACCTTCAGTAGTTATTGGCTGAAGGAGGGTGTTCTGTATCAGAGACCTGGAGGCGTCTGTCTTCACAGATTTTATACCTGAGCGAGAAGAAGAAAACATTCTTATTAATCACACGATTTCATAGAAACAAAAACTTTTTTTCTGCAATAAAGGTACAGAAGGGTTAAAGCATTGCACATTTAGAGATTTATTCAATAAATGTCAAAGTTAGATTAACATTTTACCATCAGTGTATCTCCAAAATCTATAGTAAACAAAATTGTTTACAACTTAAGTCCAATCAAGACAGTACATTAACATAACCATCTTATTTGTCTACAATATATACCACAACAAATGGTTATCGATGAAATTCTACGTGATCTGATTGGAGGTTTTTCATTGCTATATACTCCTTTGTTTTTTAAAAGATTCAGTATCTTTTCTGGGTATCAAGTTAATTTTGCAAGGACTACCTGTTATCCTCTTATCATATCGAATGGCTTTCCCAGTCAAAAACCAGCTGAATGGCAGCAAAATCTCCTCCAACTTCCAGCCACTGGCCTTCTCCTGGGCGTGCATAATTTTTTTACTCCAACTCCACACTTTCACTAAATTACAGGGTCTGACCAGGGGATGGCGCTTCTCTTTAGATCACCACAAATCATGACAGAAAGACTATTTTAGATGGTTAAAAAGGAATTGTAGGGAATTGCCAAGAACCTGCTAAGGGCCTATCATGGAAAGTGGGGAAATTTTGAATGGCTACTACTGTAAATTATCAAACAAGATCTCCCAATCTGAGATTTTCCTCAGAGTTAATCCCTCAAATGTTAGATATCTTTGGTATGGTGCATTCCAGCAAGAACCTTTTAGCTGCTGAGAATTTGGTCGGGTCATAATTTTTTGGCCTATTTTGACATGCTTTAAGTTTCCTGGAACAGATACGCTGACAACCAGAATGCTTTTCTGTTTTATTACTTTACACCAGCACAATCTATGACAGGGCAGCAGGGATGGCTATAATAGTAGCCATTCAGAATGTCCCCACTTTCCTCGATGGGTCCCTGGCTGATCCCCTACAATACATTTTTAAACATCAATCTTTGTACTAAAATATTCTTCCTGTCATGTTTTGGTGACATTAAGATTTAAAGAGAAGTGCCTCCTGCTGGTCAGACCCTGTAATTTGTTCAGAGTCAGAGTAAAAAAAAATGCACGCCCAGGAGAAGGAGGGGGTCATTCTGGTAGCTGGAAGTTGGAGAGGATTCTGCTGGGAGTTGTAGGGAAGTGGGCTGCCATTCGGCTGGGTTTTGACTGGGAAGGACCATTTTGAATGGCTGCTACTACAAAGCAAAAAACATGTAAATCAGTTGATTAATATATGAAAAATAAATCAATCCTGAAACAAAAAGAAGTGAAGTAGTCAAACAAAAATTACAGCAGGTCCTCTCATTAGTGAGACAGTTGAGTGCACACTTTTACAATAACGTCAGTGATGCACACGTCCACCTCAATGTGAGCTTTCACTTCTGCAACACACATTCATTACCAAGCACACCATGCACCACATTTCCATTTATGTCTCCCACATTTGGGGTTAACCAAGCCAAATCATATCACTGTCTTTAATCTGACAATTTTAAAATAAGATTAAGGCAGATTTTCAAAAATGGGGTTTTATCCTTTTCTCCTTCGTTGGGAGAATATATACCATAAAGATAAATGCTCTACCATAATTCTTGCTTCTTTTTCAACATCTCCCTATATTTCTATCAAAGCATTTTTTAAACATTTAATACTATTATTGACTGTTAGACAAAAATACTTCACAACTGCAAGTTTTATGCTGATCTCTGGCTGCCAAAGTGTCTATTCTAATAATCCACAATTACTTTCATAGTTTCTTGTTTTGGAAGTCATGTTGAAAAGGACTTTTGTCTGCTTTATTAACTGGTCCAATTGTTATAAACACCTTTGACCTTTTCTGCATTTTTATCTCATAAAATGTACTTCTAAAGTCTTATCCTGCATTTAAATCTGCACTTACTGATGTCACATTCAAGGTTGTTCTTGGGTAGCTGTTAAATTTTAGTTTTCTTTATTTCTAAATGTGCTACCATATTTTTGTTCTGTCATAGTGTCTCTCATCTTAGTTCAATTGCAATAAAGATTGTTTGTTTCCTTTTGCAAAAATCTGTCAAGCTCAGACATCCTTTCTCTAATATTATTCTACTATTGTCGTACCTTTACTATTATTTTACAATTATATCAATAAGCAAATGGCGCAAATAAATAAAATCCCTTACCTTCTTGGTTGGTTTCAAAAAGCCCTGTAGAGCTGAGTATAAAGAAACTTGTCCCATATATATATGTAATGTGGAGTGAGTTGCCACACCCAGTCTACTGTTGAATTTCTAAAAAAATAATGTCACAAAAGGAGAAGTCATGTGATTTTACAGAGAATCAGCAAAATCCTCCACACTTTATTGTCTACATTAATCTTAAACGAATTAAGATCAAAGACAAACAAATATATAAGGATGACTGAAAGCATATTTAACATGTTATTTACCTGTTTTGCTTGTTTCAGATTGTTTCTGTATGCATAGCTAAATCTGTTAGTCCTGCTATAATCAAGTGTCAGACCAGTATTTGAAAATGTAGATTGAACTCCAGAGCCAACAATAATGGTGATGGCAGAGAAACAAAGAAAGACAGTATAGAATAGTAAAACTTAAATGGATTATTTAAATTTGTAGCACAATTTACAAATCTTTCCTGTCTAGGCTGGTTTACTAATGAGCTCAAAAGAAATCAAAATAAAAATACTTAACAAGGCTTTAAACAATAGTAAAGGAAGATTTCTGTCCCATATGGAGTTCTTCCTACAGGAAATGAGCTGAGAATCCTTTTGCTGTGTATATGTCTCAAAGCTCAAAAAGAGTAACCAGTATTCAAGGTCGGAAGACAGTCGGATAATTCAAAAGGCGTTTGTTCAAGTGTTTAAGAATTGATCTGCCCCAGTGGCCTAAAGGATAAGTCACTGGCCTCCTAAGCCAGGGATTGTCCCATCCCATCTGCATGGCAGTCACATAACACCACCAGTTACTACAAATTGTCCTTATCTTCAAAGCCAGTGCTGAGCTTTTATTGCTAGCCTGCCGCTAACTGGTGGTAAGTGGTAAGTCACCCATCCAGCAAACAGGAAGTCTGGGTTCATATCTCAGCTGGGGGGAATGAGCTGGCAGGATGGGTCCTGAGGTCATTGGACCCAGAGGTTGCCCCAATGCTTAGGGCATAGAAGTTGGAATCCAGAGTTCAAGCCACATGCTCACGGACTGCTACTCTAGTAACCTGACCAAGACCCATTGTGCGACTCCGTGGTCGCTGCACACTGCTCCCCAAGGGGATGGGTTAAATGCAGAGAGTTAATTTCCTTGTTCTTGTCATAAAGCGAGGACTGAAGGACCCAGTATTTAAGGAGAGACAGTCAGTAGGAAAGTTCAAATGTTTATTAAATAAAACAAAAACTGAAGCGGAGCTGTGGCTCGCGGACACTGCAGGATGGGGGGGCGGGGCACCGCCCAATCTCAGACACTCTAGGGAGGAAACACAGGTAAGTGACCACGATAAACTGATTTATGATTATCTGGGTTGGTCACTTACCTGGTTTAACAGTCCAGACCACGAGTGTCCCCAGTGCTGCAGTCCCAGAGGTGATGCTGGAAGCTGATCCTGGTGAGGGATCCAGAACAGACAGGAACAGACAGGAACAGGCAGGATCCAGATCAGGCAGGAACAGGTGGCAGGATCCAGACTTCCAGGAGGGTTCAGAGTCTGACTGGGACCAGAAGCATGACCAGGTGGTTATGCACAGAAGCAGACAGGATCAGGTGCAGATGAGCAGGCACAGTGGAAGAGGGTAGCCGAGACAGGATGTAGGAACCGGAACTTGAAGCAGGACTTTAAACTGGTCTCCTCCCTGGAGCCAGGCTTACTTTGATAAAAACTGAACCTCCCCACATAATGAGCCAAAAACCCAGAGGACTCCGTGGGGGAGGAAAAGTGGACGATCAGGAGACGAGACAAACACTAAAACCCTCTTTCCACTGGCAGCTAGGATCCAGGACATGAACCAAATAAAATAAAACTGAACAGAAAGACTGGCAGAAAGACAAGTAATGATCTGGCACTGAATGCTCAGGCTGAACTGAATATAAACCAGAGGAAACAGGTGAGGGGAATAAATTATAATTGAGGCAGGGAGGGAACAGGGCAGGTGAAAGGAATTACTAATTAAGGAGGAGCAAACAGGCCAGATCATGACAGTTCGGTACTTGTGACAGTGTAATGAATATAAAGATATTTGGGAATGGAAAAAAAGGTAACTGCTGCTAGGGTCTCTAAGGCAGGAACCTCTGCAGAAAGGAAACACAGGTTAGTGACAACGTAAATGTGGTGCAGGATGATTATGAACGTGAGTCACTAATCTGGTTTAATAGTGCAGTATAACTAGCAGTTAAGGAAATAACGTATAATACCCCATTCATCATACAAATGAATAGATAGACATTAGGCAAGGCACTACAGTGCAAATGAGATATGAATTTTCCTTCTAATCTTAAGCAAAGCAAAGTTGTGCTATTTGTTTGATAACCATATAAGGTGAAGAGCCTACATTATTTTATTTTTATTTTTTAAATATTACTTGAACTTAAGTTCGACAAATGCACATCACCCTGATATAAAGGTTAGTTGAAATCATTAAAAATAAAGTATTATATCAGTTTATATTCTAATGTCTGCTTTCAGATAACAAACTTGGCTAACTTAATGCTAAACCAATTTCCAGTTTTTCACTTTAGCTGATCACGATTACTTGTCTTTTTATCTAAACAATGCAAAAATAACAGATTGGTTATAACTTTGTTTTCTTTTAAAGAACAGTATTTGGACGGATCCAACATGGGCGTAAACTAGAGCTAGCATCCCTCATAGGAATTTTCTATGAGAGGACACAACAGATGCGGCCAAGTACACAGACCTTGAAAAACAGATGATAAATTAAAATCTCATAAAAGGAGGTTAATCATAATTTTTTGGTTAAAAAAGTTTACTTCAATAATGAGGACAAGTTAAATACAAGTTTTCTATATATATGTCTCTAAAGGCATTTTAGTTACGGGCTGTGTCCGAATGTCCGAAACCCAAACCCCTCCATCACTATATAGTGGAATTGATTTTAAACTCAGTTAACTGACTTTTCAGAGAGATGATCACTACTTTTTACTCCCTGTTGGTCACGTGACTCCGCCACCCTGCACAGTGCCTGTGTCATCTTTGTTCTTTCTCCGAAAAGTCCCACAATGGTTTGCGAGGGGAGCTATCTGCTCCTTTAGTGATGTACACTAATCATTTTGGGAAATGTTGAGTGCTCTACAACATGGCGTCACCTTTATATAGTGCTTTATATAGGGCAAATAAACATAGAAGAAAAGAATAAAGGACATTTCCATGACTTAGGCACCAACTGCTGGAAGAACAGGGAATTGCAGAATACACAGACTCAACTCTTGCATTTCACTTCATAGAAAGTTTTTAATGATTGGTAAAATCTCCCAGTCAGTCTGCACATTTGCACAACTATAAAATAAAATTGATTTAACAAAAAAGATACACATTCATCTGTTTTAGACACTAAAAATATCACAATGTGTCTAGTTTTACTTTTCAAATAAAATACTGCCAAATTCTATGTTATTAATCCTTCACCCATTACAAGTTCTATTTATTGTAATAAGGTTATTTTTTGGGGACTTGGGTTATTTTTTTTTTTTTGCAACCCATGCACTGAGTCAAAATCTTTTTCAAATCCATCAACACAACATGTACTGGTGGACACAGCACCTAGTTTGCTGGGCTTTTACTCATCACCTGGAAAAGACATGCTCCATGGGAACACATGTTCGCATGTTCATGCAAAACATGTGTATCTAAGGCGTACTTTATTTAGGGGAAGAGCTGTAAAATATTATGCATGTACTACATAACTTTATGAAGTGGTTGCAATACCCTGCGAGTTTGAAACGAATTCAGCATACAGTCACCATGTGGGTTAGTTAAAGTTTCTGTCTGTTTAGATTTATGATTGAGCTTGGATAGTATTGCTAGTAAAGTTGGATTAGAGGTTTGATTGTTTGGAATGTTTAGATGAGAGAAGAGACGAGATTGAGGTGAGTGTGAAGAAGACAGAGAATGAAGGAATCTACTGTAGGATGAGGAAGATTTCACATATGTAAGAGAATAGGCTTAATTTCTCTCAATAAGGCAAGATAAATGAATTAGGTTTGCTTAAGAAATGTCATTTTCATTGTTTTTCAATATATTGATAGATGGGATGTTTGGGCTATATCTCATCCATGTTAACAACCTCTTAGCTGGCATCTTCAGTACCCTGAAAATTGGCGTTTTAAAGATCTGAAAAAGCAATGTTAAAAAAAGGAATGCCTTGAAAACTGATACGTAAATTATTTCTAAGGAAAATCCTTAAAATTTCACGTTTTTTTACATGATGTCAAAGTTGCACATTCATTTCCAGTGCCTTCTTCCAAACTCCATCAGAATTTGTCCTGTATTTAATTGAACTCTTTGCTAAGGCAGTTGGCCTGTTTGATTCAATGCCTTTTAAGGCCTCATGTCATCATCATGACCAGTATTTTCATTTGTTTGCTGATTAACAAAATTTTGCTGAACAGTAACCATTTAGGTCTGTTGTGTTAGAGCAGGGATACTTCTGAATAATTTATGGCACTGTGCTTTCAAGGAGCTTGATAGACGTATATTGCTGTACAGCACATACACTATATTGCCAAAAGTATTTGCTCACCCATCCAAATTATTGGAATCAGGTGTTCCAATCACTTCCATGGCCACAGGTGTATAAATTCAAGCACCTAGGCATGCAGACTGTTTTTACAAACATTTGTGAAAGAATGGGTCGCTCTCAGGAGCTCAGTGAATTCCAGCGTGGAACTGTGATAGGATGCCACCTGTGCAACAAATCCAGTCGTGAAATTTCCTCGCTCCTAAATATTCCACAGTCAACTGTCAGCTGTATTATAAGAAAATGGAAGTGTTTGGGAACGACAGCAACTCAGCCACGAAGTGGTAGGCCACGTAAACTGACGGAGCGGGGTCAGCGGATGCTGAAGCGCATAGTGCGAAGAGGTCGCCAACTTTCTGCAGAGTCAATCACTACAGACCTCCAAACTTCATGTGGCCTTCAGATTAGCTCAAGAACAGTGCGCAGAGAGCTTCATGGAATGGGTTT